GATTAATCAATGACTCCTTTTCTATCTCCAACAAAACTCCTTCAGCCATTGTTTTTTTGGTCGCAAGAAAGGTAGTGAAATAGTTTGTCAAGGGATTCATGAGAGAGAAGGAAGGGTGGAAGAGTATAAGAATATGATTAATAGGTTGAGTTGATAGTTGATTATCTTTCTAATGGACGTACGTCAGTTTGAATAAAAAGAATAAATATAGAAATTAAAACCGGCTTTAGTTAAAGAAAGACGTTGCTTTATTCCAAACATTACTTTGATATCGAAGGTATAAGTATTTCTTAAGCAACGGCAATATGGAGATGGAATAAAAATTAAAGGTGATGGCCTTTGAATACATTTGATTAGACCAAAAATGCAATTGAAGAAATCTGGGTGAGTTGGCATGACTTCACTACTGAGAATGGTTTATTTAAAGAAGTTGGTTTATCTTAACATGCTAAAGATGCAATTCAATTGTTTGAAGGAATTTAAAACACAATGGAGAAAGTAGATGAAGAGTGAGCCTATCCCTATAGGGGGCGTTTGGATCAGGAGTATATAAGATAACGGGGATAATCTTCGTTTATTTTGCGATTCCAGCGTTTTGTTTGCAGGTAATAAAATATTACGGTAATCTTTTATTGCAAATAGTGTTTACTGTTGGTAATATAAGGGGTAATCTGATACCTTCCCCCACCCCTGGAATTAAAACACTACCGAGGTAATCTAATTTTTCTACCCATTTTGCCCTTAATTAAAAACAATTTTGGATACAATTGCCCTCAAATGTCTATCAAATAACAATCACCCCAACCCCCCTACATTTGAGAAATTAGCTAAAACACCTCAACCACAAAAAAGTTTAAAAGTTAATAAAACACCCTCAGCCACCCAAGACCACCGCCGACCGTGACTCACCATCGTCGGTCGCCGACATCAGTCATCGTAATGGTGCACGACCAGTAGGATCTGACCGGTTTTGTGCCGATAAGGCCTTTTATCCATGACCTAAAACAGCTAGATCTAGCGTTTCTATAGTCGTTTCACGACCAAAGATGTGGTCGTAAAACGATCACGGATTTGGCCATAAAATGACCATAGATCTGGCCGTTTTTTAGCTATGGATTTGTGATCCATGGCCATTTCCGGCTTTGCTGACACACGACTGACCATATATGGCCAGTCGTGCGCCATTTCGTTGACTGTCGGCAATGGTGGCTAGCTACCGACAGTGGCTTGGGTGGGTGAGGGTGATTTTGCTACAAATTAAAGTTTTATATAGACGAGGTGTTTTAACAAAATTTCAAATGTGGAGGGTTAAAAGAAACGATTCAAAAAATAATAATAATAAAAATTACTATTATATTAATATTTAAAAATACGGGTAATTTAGTAATTTATATAACATACCCACCCATTTATCATTCTAATCAAACATATTATTCACCAATTTATTCGAACAAACCAAATACATTTTCTAAATATTCCAATAATCTAGGTGATCTTTATTTTTTTTAATATAATATCTCTTACAATAAAACATTATATGATCCAAACGCCCCTATAATAGTAAAAAAGCTAACCAACATGGCTGAAACGTAACTTTAATTTTTCTTTTTCTTTTTCATAAAAGGGGTGTTTTTGTTATTTCAAAATAAATTTAACAATCAACTAATATTTTATTAAGTTAAAGGACCAAAACTCTAGTATTTGAAATGATTGTTCTTAAACAGTAGTAAACTAAAAGCACAGAGACTAAAAAGGAATTAAGTCCAAAGAAAAGGATAGGGAATGTTTGAAAAGAAGGGTTGAATTACAAATAAATGAAAACCAAAAAGAACATAGAATTAGAAGCGGATGAGACAAGGACGAGGCCTAGGAGGCATGCATTTGTATAAATTAAATGTTTTACACTTAAAGGAATTTTTTTTTTTTTTAATTTGTTGTAAAACCCCGTAGGTTTCACTAATTCATTAAGCACCCGCCGGTTTCATAAATATTACACTAAAATGACATTTGTCATATTTTATCTGCTTTTCCTTAATAAGAATGTCATTAAATATGACTGTGAAATGACCATTTTGCCCTTATTAATATAAGTATCCGTTGCATTGAGCTAAACCATTGCTTTGTGCTCCAACAGCCCATTCATGTGAATTTAAAAAGGGTGCCCACTTGTATGAAACGAGAAAGAAAAATGGATAAATTCATCCTCCAAAACCATCTTTATGCACCACAAAACTCAGTAGAGTTTCACAACACAATAGTTGTAGCAGAGGCATTGTCAAGAGGCAACTCATGTCAAGAAAGGAGTGAAGTGAAAGAGGGTGTTGTGAAATTCAAAAACAGATGGTGCAAGTGCAGCAATATAGCATGTATAAAGATCCCAAGGACGACAAACAAGCTACCAACAAAGGAAAATAAAGAGACATATGAATTATGATGCAGAACCTAGCAATGTATTTGTAGTAGTGATAAACCTGGATACATTCAATCTGAAATCCAAGCTGCAATTAAACAAATCAAGAAGCATATGAATTTGGCAACTTTATAATGTCTTTTGGCAACTTCTTAAGACTACAATTACGGACTTTTAATACTTGCAAATTTCCTAATATTGTTATAGAATTATGGAGTTTCCTAATATTTGGGTTACAAGACAAGTCGAGATAGCGTACATGCTTCAATTTACTAATTGAATTTGGTACATTCTTAATATTAGAAAAACTCAAATCTAATGTACGTAAACATTTAAAACTTAGAGAACATTTTTCTGCAATTGGACTTGTTCAAGTCATTATTGTCGAAAAGTGAACCACTATGGAGTATGAATGTTCTTATATGATTTGCCTTGAGAATGCATTTGAAACGTTCCATGATGACTCTAATTTAGAATCAAATGAAACATGACAAGTTCTTTCATCAACATTTCTTGCATCTAACTTAGCCAAGATACACTCAGGTTTGGTAGCTAAAGTTGCAAGATCATGCATCTTGCATGTCATCATATATTTATCGTATGTTACATCTTGAAAAAATGAGCGAGAAACTAAATAAACAAAATATTCATTAACAACATCTTCAAGAGATTGGCTCGTGTTTGGTGATTGAAGAAATCCTTGAGCCATCCAAAGATTAATAATGACTCCTTGCTAATCACATAATCTTTTGGAAACAATGAACTGTTATAGCCGAAAACTTAATACTGATCTATCAACACAAAACAATCACACCAAAAAACAAGAAAACACCACAAAATCAAACACACAGACAAGCCACGATTTACCGTGGTTCACTTATCCTTTTATGGATAAGCTACATCCACGTTGAGCTCAAGAACGGTATGAGCTCGCTGCACTTCGATTACCAGAAACAATCAAGATTACACAGATTCAATACTCACCAGATCTACCCGATTACAGCAGCAACCAGCCTTACAAGATACTCTCTGAATATCCCTAACCCGAGAGAACACTACTCTCACCTGAATGATTAAAACCCCTAATCACTCGACTGATTTAACTCACAATCTGGAATGAAGAATCTCAACCCTAACACAGAGAAGAACATACACAGAGAACCCTAACGACTGTATATCACTCTACCAAAACTAAACGAACATGCGCTTATATATGGTTTGACTTCGTGATTGATCCTGGCCGTTAGATCTGGAGTGCATCCTGTGGTCTGAATTAGTCCAAGTTAATATGCCTAAAATGACGCCATATTAATGTTACTTAAACGACGCTGTTTCAGGCTTCCATATTTAACAATCTCCACCTTGGAAGCACTGGAAACAGACTCTTTGTGCAGCTTGCCCTATCCCATTCTATCATAGCTCTTTATCACTCAAGATTACTTGATATACAACAAGTTCAAGCAGTGCTTGAACTTAGCTGGAGTGATAATTTTGGTGCCCATATCNACCTGCAATGGATTAAATCACAGCCTTTTATGCGCTCAAGTCTCAACAAAGTATCCACAACGAGGGCACTTAATCCATGCTTTGCTCTCCACAAGCTGCCGAAACAAAATATCATTCCGATCCCTCGGACTTCTAGTTTCTTCACATCCATACCCTGCATGCCATGCCAACTTACACTGAAAACAAAACAATCGTTTACAGTTTGGACACTTACTCTTCTTCATATCCCCACCACACTCGTTCACCACAACCTCCATACAGTTCGTATCAAGGCAATAGCTCCTTTCAAACCCTAGAACATAATTATCGCAGAGAAGATCACACCACTTTGAAAAAACACTTTGTGAGATTATAGCTCTACACGAAAGAGGATCTAAAACTTGTTGGCAGTGCAAACCGGGGCATTTAATATTTGCCGCATGATCTTCGATCTTGAATTCGATATATTTGGCTATGCAGTCTAGACAGAAAGGGTGACCACAAAGGTTCTTGTTCTTGAATTTCTTATTTGTGGACATGGGTTCGATGCAAATCTCACAGGTGAAGCTTCCATTAGCATCTTCTTCTTGTGTTTCTTGTTGGAGATTCTCTCGGTTTTCACTTGGTTTTTGCAGTGAGTTTCCCATGGTAACCTTATGGAATTTTTCGAGGCTAACTTGTTATTTTCTAAGAATCATTAGGTATTTATAGGGCTCTTACTTAGTTTTCTGAATACATCAAGATATCTATTCGGTTTAGGAATACATAAATTATCTTAAATTTCGGACTAGAACTTTCTTTTTATCCTAAACCAAGTCTAATTTTTGGTTTGACTAGGATTAAAAATTATATTTATCACTTGATACTTAACATCGTGACGCAGTTGCTAATTGAGCCGTTTCTTCACTTTCCGATGCTCAAGAGTCAAGACAGAAAATTGTAGTAATTAATATATAATGCACCCCAAATCGAAGGAATTTTTTTTATTAAACTCAATCGTGAAGCAAAGACTTTCTGTAGTTTGATCAGTAGAATGCTTGCTGTTTTAAAGAGAGACAGAATCTAATTTGGCTTAACCTTTTTTCAATTAAATTCAAGAAATTATTTACAAGGGCTCGAAATAAAGAAAAAGAGCTAGTAAAATAATTAGAACCACAGAGCTGAGCAGCCAATAAAAATTACGCCGATAGCCGCGGCATTCGCATTCCCTTATAGCTTTTCCACATTCATAGCAAAACTCAGTCCGGCATCTGAAAGAAAAAGAAGAAAAAAGAAAGTATGTCTCGTTAATATTTGTTACTGTTAAATGAAGACAGACAGACGAGTTTATATGTATAAAACAAAACCTGCATTTGATGGAATTACAGCCTTTTATGCGCTCAACAAAGTGTCCACAACCAGGACACTTAATCCATGCTTTTCTCTTCACCAGTTGCAAAAATAAAGTATCATTCGGGTCCCCAATAATTCTACCTTCTTCACATCCCAACCCCGGATGCCATGCCGACGTGCACTGAAAACAAAACAGTTTCTTACAATTTGGACATGTAGTTTTCTTCACATTCCCACCACACTCATTCACCACCAACTCCCCGCAACTCCTATTAGGGCAATAGCCTCTTTCAAACCCTAGAACATAATTATCACAGAGAACGTCGCACCACTTTGCAAAAACATTTCGTGAGATTATCGTTCTGCAAGAGAGAGGATCTAAAACTCGTTTGCAATTCTATCCAGGGCATTGAACGCTTGCTACGTGATCTTCGATCTTGAGTTCGATGTATTTGGCTATGCATTCTTTACAAAAGGAATGAGCACAATGGTTCTTGTTCTTGAATTTCTTGTTTGTCAAGACGGGTTCGATGCAAATCTCGCAAGTAAAGCTTGCATCAGCGTCTTCTTCCTGTGATTCTAGTAGAGGATCTTCAAGGTTTTTGCTAGGTTTTTTCAGGTAGTTTCCCATGGTTGTTTTAATGGAGTTTTACAACAATCTTAAGTAGATTAATTTGGTTACTTTTATCACAAGTAATTGCTCGATCAAATCCTTAAGTTTGCAGGAAAAATTAACAGTTTTTCGTTTATTATTCTGATTTACTGTCCTTTAATTAGATTTATTTCTTTTAGTTCAAGAAAAGTAAGATGCCTTTTATGTCCACTAAATTTAAAAAAAAAAAAAAATAAAAAANTATCCAAGGAACACACACTTGGTTGATCTTGGCTCCAGTTTTCCCCCCACTGTGTGAGCATATGCAGCACAGCCAAACACTCTTAGGTGCCCTAGTTCTGGTCTTCTCCCTGACCATCTTTCTTCTGGACTGATAAGGCTTAGTGCTGTGGAAGGACTCCTATTCACTAAGTAAGCAGCTGTGGAGAGAGCTTCTCCCCAGAAAGTTTTTGGTAGGTTTGAGGTGATCAAGAGGCATCTTCCTTTGTCTAGCAGTGTTCTGTTCATCCTCTCAATCACCCCATTTTGCTGAGGGGTATTTCTCACTGTCCTATGCCTCAGGATCCCCTATTCACTGTAGAACTTATCAAACTCCAGATTACAGAACTCAAGCCCATTGTCAATCCTAAGGGCTTTCACCTTTCTGCCAGACTGGTTTTCAACAAGGGTTTTCCAGTCTTTAAACTTTGCTAGGGCTTGATCCTTTGACCTAAGTAAGAATACCCAGACCTTCCTGCTGTAGTCATCTACTATTGAGAGGAAATAACTGTTTCCACCATGAGATTTAACCTTTTCTGGCCCCCATAAATCAGAATGTAGGTAATCCAAATAGTTGTTTGCTAGGTGAACTCCCTTAGGAAAACTATTTCTGTGCTATTTACCAAGTACACAATTTTTGCAGAATTCTAGGCTTGTAACAGTGTCTTTCCCAAATTGTCCTAGCCTATTCAGTACATCCATTCCTTTCTGACTTATATGGCCTAATCTTAAGTGCCACCTTTCTATTACTGATAAATTTTGAGACCCAAGTGTTGTGCTGTTGCAGTCAGAATAAAAACTACCACAAAGTACATATAGCCCATTTTTCTTTTCTTCTTTCATCATCATATTCTCATTTTTATATACATTCAACCACCCACTGTTAGCCTTATAGCAGCAGCCTGCTTCATCTAGGGTGCCTAATGATATGAGGTTTCTCTTTAAGTCAGGTATATATCTGACTTTGGTCAACCTTATTAGTTTTCCTCCATTTAACCTAAGGGTAATGCAGCCAATCCCCTTAACCCTACAGGCTTGGTTGTTCCCCATGTACACAGTCTCATGATCAAACTCCTCAAAGTCTTGGAACCAACTCCTATTGGGGCTCATATGGAAAGTACAACCAGAATCTAACACTCATTCCTTTGCAGTGTCAGATATTGACACTGTTGGGACTTTGGTTCATCCATTTGGTTACTAGTGGTGGCTAGGTTGCTCTTTGTGTTACCTAGTTTCTGTTTTTTCTTCCAATCAAAACAGTTTTTCTTTAGGTGACCTGTCTTATTACAGTGGTAACATTTCCTGGTTTCTGTTTTTGCTTTGTTGTTCCCCTTCCATTTCTTCTTGTTCTTACCCCCCTGACTTGACTGAACCCCTTTACTAGACTGAGCAGGTTCTATTCTACCCTTCACAAATAGAGTGCTATTGTTCCTCTTAAGGGTTTTAAGCTCTAATTCTCTAGCCTTAAGACCCGCAATTATCAAATCAACACTGGGTACAGTACTAGAGTACTGAAGGGCATTCTTGACTACTTGGTAGTCTTCAGTTAGGGAATTTAATAATATCATGGTAAGACTAGTTTGTCCTAGTTCTTGGTCTGTGCCCTTTAAGATTAGATTCATCTTAAGGAATTCATCTAAGTTTTCCTCTATGGACTTCGAATTATCCATCTTATAAGAGAATAAGGCTCCCTTTAAGAAAGCCAAATTCGGTGCAGACTGTAATTCATATATAGATTCTAATTTACCCCATAAACCAAGAGGAGTTTCGAATCCATCTACCTTCCGAAGGACACTGTCAGAAAGATTCATCACGATCAGGTTATAAGCTTCTTCATGAATCTCTTCCTTCTTCTCTAGTTTCTCCTCTGACCATTTCTTAGGATCCTTTTCCAGTGCAATTGCAACTTTGTTATGTGAGAGAAGAGCCTTCATCTTCTTTTTCCAACTTTCGATGTCGATCTTCCCATCGTATTGGGAGATCTCCATTCGGGCGGTGCTCATTTTCTTGTAATGACAAAGAAAAGGAAAGTCTAAGGCGTACTTGGCGTTGTTACACCAGAGGTTGTCAATTACTGCTATGCAGTTTTTAAGGCGGTCACTGGTTTTCCAGCCGATATACCCCTACACTTTATCAAGATTTGACTATCTAGAACCAATTCTAGACTCAAAGAAGTAAACAATCCACAAAACCCCAATTTCCGAAACCCTAATTTTGTGAAACCCTAATTTCTGTTTCTTTAACAAAAAATTCCCAAATTCACAAAACCCTAATTTCGTAAAAGAACTTCTTATACCGAAACAATGACAGAGAAGGTGAGTCTGAGGCGTACGAGGCGTTGTTACACCAGACGTTGCCAATTACTGCTATGCAGTTTTTAAGGCAGTCACTGGTTTTCCAGCCGATATACCCTCACACTTGATCAAGATTGACTCTCTAGGACTTAATTTGAGACTCACAAGAAAAACCCCCAATTTCTCAGAAGAACCCTAATTTTAAGAAACCCTGATTTTGTAAAGCACGAACTTCACTTTCAAGAAAATGGCTCTGATACCACTGTTATAGCTGAAAAACTTAATACTGATTTATCAACACAAAACAATCACAACAAGAAACAAGAAAACACCACAAAATCAAACACACAAACAAGCCACGATTTACCGTGGTTCACTTATCCTTTTATGGATAAGCTACATCTACGTTGAGCTCAAGAACGGTATGAGCTCACTGCACTTCGATTACCAGAAAACAGTCAAGATTACATAGATTCAACACTCACCAGATCTACCCGATTACAACAGCAACCAGCCTTACAAGATACTCTCTGAATATCCCGAACCTGAGAGAACAACACTCTCACCTGAATGATTAAAACCCCTAATCACTCGACTGATTTAACTCACAATCTGGAATGAAGAATCTCAACCCTAACACAGAGAAGAACCGACACAGAGAACCCTAACGACTGTTTTTCACCCTGCCAAAACTGAATGAACATGAGCTTATATATGGTTTGACTCTGTGAGTGATCCTGGCCGTTAGATCTGGAATGCATCCTGTGGTCTGTATTCGTCCAAGTTAATATGCCTAAAACGACGCCGTATTAATGTTACTTAAACGACGCTGTTTCAGGCTTCCATATTTAACAAAAGGCAACTTTGATAAGAATCCCAGCAAATCCCTCCATTTTGACACAAATACTTAACATATTTCTTGTTGCTGACTTGGCCACTTCCCTCCTCTCGTGGAAGCAGGGTGTAAAAATCAAAACTCAAACTTATTAACTTATAATTAATTAAGCAATGTCTATACACCCTGAAGTTTAATTCAATAACAAAGTTCATCCTAAAATCTTAGAAATAACATAAATCTCCCTATTATTAGTAAGTCGGTTTATAATATAATGCGTTAATAAATATTTACCTAATTGTCCCTTCGTTGCTTATTTTAACACTAAAAAATTAATGACAAAGATTTGTGTCATTACTATAACTATAAGGATTTGTCACTCAATTATACTTAAAAGAGGGATTATTGTTATTAATAACTAGAGTAAATGACATGTTCCCACCCAAAAAATGGTTTATTGACAAATTCATACCCACCCACTTTTTAAATACCCTTTCAGTACACACAACACAACTTTTTTAGTAATTTTCATTGTAAGGAATGGTAAAATGGTCAAAAGTTCATTATTAGTGAGGGCAATATGGTCAACAAACATTTGGCTAAAATAAAAATTTTAAAATAACTCTCTACATCTCAAATTTCTCAGCAGCACCCTTGACCTCCCTCGCGACTGCTAGATTTCGGCGTCGTTGGACATCACTTCCACCACCATTAGCTTCCCTCACTCATCCTCGGCAAAACCCATCCATCCCCCAGCCTCTTCTACCTCTATTTTGGCCAGATTTGAGCAATTTTCCCTCCCTTGCGGTTGTAAGAAAAATCAAGATCTAGTCGGATTCCAACATCGTTGGACATCACTACCACTGCCATTAACTTCCCCCACTCATCACCAACAAAACCCATCCATCCCCCAGCCTCATTCATCTCCATTTTGGTCAGATCTAAGCCTTTTCTCCATGATTTTCCCCTCCTTCACGGCTGCTAAAAAAATCCAAATCTAGCCTATTTCTGGTGCCGTTGGACATCACCACCACCACCACCACCACCACTAGATTCCCCAATTCATCCTCAGCAAAACCCATCCATCCCCGAGCCTCGTCTGCCTCCATTTTGGTTGGATCAAAGTGATTATCCCTCCCTTGCGGCAGTCAGAAAAATCAAGATATATTGGGGTTAAAATGTAATTTATTAATGTACTTGTGTGTCCAAATCTAAATGAAACCAAGGGTTTTTTAGTAAATCATTTTGTTTTCCACCCAAATCAGTTGAAAACCTAATATTTGTGTAATAAAAATGTATTTAAAAGTTTGAGGGTAGAAAAGTATCAATGGGCCTTTTTTTTGAGTGGGAACATGTCGTTAACTATAATACTATCTTATAGTATTGAAACGAGTTAGAAACATAGAACTCATTTTACATTCATTTAATAATATCATGTCATGCATATATTTACTAGACTACAAGTCTATAATATGATTGATTGATTTCTATCCTAAGGACCTATAAAACTCACTGGTGTTAGCTATATCCAAGAGTCTTATGTTTAAGTCGCTAAGAGAGATATCTATTACAATTGTGTAATTATCTGGGTTCATTAAGCTTGTAAGGTGTTATGTGAACCTGAGGATTAA